CATAGTGACTGATTGTCCCCTAAGGTTGGTCTCCTGTGCCGGTTCTTTTAGCTTCTATAGTCGTCCTGAGAGCATCCATGGCAATCACGACTCTGTGCAATAGGTACTTTCTGGATGAGGGTGCCACACATCCTCGAATCCCTCTGCTAGTACTTCCACTGTGTATCATCTGGGTTACAGCATGCGACTGAGCCTTTCTGACTGTACCGTTCTAAGCATTCTGGCTTTCTGACGACATGCTTTCGTGAAGACGACTCAGATATCACCCAGGACCTTGGTTCGCCGGTATATCATCTCTGCCAACGCTGTGGCATATACGTAGGGGAGATTTCTACGACTGGCAGCAGCGCTCGCACGAGAAATATGGGGGTATAGCCCGTGAGTCATGGCTCATCGTCTCTGGCCGCCTTCTCTTACATGGTGGGCACAGGCATCGGTCCCAATCGACTAACCACATCCGACGGTGAATTCATCCACAAGTTGGATAGCAAGGAACATGGAAGTCCGAGATCTGAATGGTACGGGGCTGCCATCAATCCCAGCCCGTTTCATGAACGCAATGTGACGACAATGACGGACGGTGAACATCATGAACAGTATAGAAAGAGATTAGCAGCTGCTTACAATAGTTTCGACATGTTTATGCCCCTGCATCACAGTGCCGGGGTTCATATCAAGGAGCCCATTGAAAAGCATCTCACTCAAGCAAGCGATGACGTCACACGAATCATCGATTTTGCACCTATCGTTGAGAGGTTCGCTTTACAGGGATTCTCGAACATGGCATCCGGACAGGTTTGAAGACATACATCTGTTAATGGAGGCGGCCGCTGACGCGCTATGCAAGACTTGGATGAACAAGACGTCACATGCATTAGTCTTGCCGTCTTCCAAGGTCAATGGTGGTTCATGATGATGACTATGTTCCCGTGGACGCAAGTCTTGGTAGAAGGGATCTTGGCCATTCTGAGGCTTGAGCGACATATTGCTTTCGGCAAAATACTTGTTTCGGTTGTGAAGATCGTTAAGAGCCGATTTGGGGAGAACAAACGAGCATCTGCTCCGCGAAGCATCCCACAGAAAAGACTATATACCGACATCATATCTGGTCTCATGGACGCAGGTCTCAGCGT